TTCCATGCCGTTGGTTTGAGAAACTACTTCCGAATGCGCGGAGATTTGGGGGCCCCAAGGTCGTCATTCTCAGTACCGAATATGAAAAATATGAAAAAAATAACGAATGGGGTTTTAGGGCGCATCGATTGCACACCATGGTTATTCTGCGCCTAGTCCGTCATTGTTTCGTTGGTTACACTGCACCATACATTCGGTCGTGTATGCGTAAAACGTAAATGCAAAACGCTTAGAACGAAAGGCTTTAATTGTCCTCATGTCGATGACATCTGTTGGGTACAGTTCAGCGCCAACTGTATTCAACCGACTCTCTCACACTTCAGGACGATCAGACATGATGACCAAAAGTTGCATGACTGTTTTCAGCATAAGCATACGATGCTCAAATGTCCAATTAGATGGAACAAATGGATTGTAGTATGAAATAACAGACTAAGGAAATTTAATACGTGTACAGCTATATGAAAGTTTTCCAAGAGATTTTAACGTGTCCCTTGCCTTCCCCCCCCCTCTCTCAAGTATAATTTTGCTCGCATGAATTGCCTACTTGAATGCCGCTATGATCAGTGTCTGCGCTTCGTACCAGCCCGTTACGCGTGCCTGTGCTAGCATGAAATTGCGAGTGTGGGTTCCGTGGGCTCTGATGTTTCCGTTACCTGTTGTTGGCTCTCTGATGTCTGTAGATCTTCTGCCTTCAAAGCAATATCTTCACCCACCATTATCCATTTCATCTCGTCTCTGGAAGCGGGACAAACGCACAAACCGGCATCCCCAAGCTAGGGGAGGAACACATCCCCCACGTGCCTCCCATATAATTCCTTCCCTCTGGCTCGGATTTAATGAATTTTGGTTCGCTGCACCTCAGCACCATCATAGTCTCGTGTTTAACTTGCCCAAACACAACTGTGAATCGCTCGGTTCGACGTGCGCAAAAATCGGCAGCGCTGTGGATGGGCCCATTAAAAATTGCGGTCATAGTACAGTAATGGTGGCATCAAATGATTGCTTCGCTGTGACATTAGTGCAAAGCATAGGTCTGCGCCTATAATACAAATTATGCGTTTTGTTGCCATGCTTAGCCATACCACATTTATTTCTCATTGCGCATGCGCCGCTCACCTCAGTGAGGTGAGCACTGGGCGGATGGCCTTTAACAATACGGAACGGCCCTCAAAAGAAACTGTGACCCAAATCTGGAATGTTTCATCAATCCCATCAGGAACACCTCAGAGTAAAGCCAAGCTTATGGTGTAGGTGTACATCTGTACGGTCGTTTGGTCATCACATACGTTGGAATCTTTTGGACTGTTCGTTAAACCGGAGTCGTTCCACTGACGCGGTGTGTTCGGGTCTTGGCAACCGTGTATGCCCAATCTCCGACCCCAAAGCTGTAACTGTAAAACATCCGGCCACACCAGGACAGGCAGTTCGCATTCTTGGAGAACTTCGAGATGCAAAGTGACGCATCCGTCTCCTAACATACAAGCCGATACATCGCCGGTGCCATGACCCCACAGTATCGAAAACCACGGCACAAGGCGACGCCAGTCTCAACGACCTGTGCCATTGTTGGTGCGAGCAATGCATTATTGGTGTATCACATAAGTTGGGAGTTGTTTCAGAATGCCCCTAGAAAATTGTCATGGCTCCTGTTGAATTAACGGCATTGCAAACACAGCGTCGTATCGCGGCTTTCTTTCGTCTCGTCGTTTGGTTTACACATCACAGTTTCCGAGAGAACATACGTGCTTCCGAAGCTTGTCGAATTTGGTTCATTCTGCATCTGATCACATCAAGTTAGCTCATCGCTGTTCGGCAGTTCCCTCCGAACAAAACCAAACGTCGGTAATAGTGGCATGGCGCTCATTCTGACTCTTATTGGCACGCCCAACAATATCTCATGCTACAACAGTCACATCAACGTCAACGGTTCCATATTAAAAGAGACTATGAATCTGTGTCAAATGCACCCGCACATGCCACTGTTATAGCACTCCAAAACCAAAAATCTCGCTATATTTTCTCACAACAGATCCGCTTCTCTTGCTTCATATGTAACAGACAGGCTGATGTTAAAGACGCTCTGGTGGTTGTTGTCGCCCCCCTCCTCGCCGAGTCACTGACTTGGTCGGCTGCGATCGGACAGCGTTTGTATTCAAACACTACCTGCACCGCCAGAACAGCTCAGCCCCGTCGGGCACGCACTCAGCGGCCCTGCCCCCACGCGTTTATGAGCTCGCGCTCATTCGCAAGCGCTGGGCCAATCCACCCCACAGCAGACAGTCACCGTCCGCAACGCAGTCACTGGCGCAGCGCGCGGTCATCTGAGCGCCACCCACAGCCGCGGTTGCCCCACCGAACAAAGCGCGTGCAATCATGCTCGGCAGAGCGCAGGTCACCGGCGCATGGTTGGACGACCACGTGCCGCGCCGCGACCACGGCGGACGGCCGGCCGCCACGGGACCCGGCCTCAAAAGCGCCGCTGTCATCGGCTCGGACGTCTTGCGCATGCCACTGAAGGACGCGGGCGCCATCACTGACGAACACCACAGTGACGTCCCCGCGGCTGCTGAGCGCAGCATTCCGACCGCCCGTCGCCTTTCCGTTGCATTTGATACACGCCAGATGCCCGCGGCGCCGTGCTGGGTACGGCACGATCACTAGACACATCGCAGACAAGAGACTGGCGGCTGTAACCCTTCTGCGTGGGTGATCCTTCCACGACTGTCTTGTCCGGTGGCCGTTATCGAAGCCCTAGAGCACTGCAATCATCATGGGAGGCAGCCCTGGCGTGGACGTCATGACTTTTGCGTGACGTCACTCTCACCCGTCCTCGTCCAGGTCGCCCACATTTGACTTCGTCACTGGTGAGCAAACTTCGAAAAGCGGCTCGAAAACAGGCCACCCGCTGCCGCCGGTAATACAAGGACCGCTACGTGACGTTGTGACGTCACCGAGGGTCGGGTGTGACGTCCACCAGCGTCGGGTTCGGAGACGGTGGCGACATCTGTGGACCGGCGAGCGCAGCGTGAAGAGGACGGGCAGCTCGGCGAGCCGCGGGGAGCGCCGCTGCAGCAGCCGAATCCACGAGAGAAGCGAGTCGCGGCTCGAGGTGCCTGCGGGGTGACCACGGACGGCAGGGCGTTAGACTACCGGATGCACAGGGGCACCCCGTGCAAAGTAACCACCTTTGGCGTGTGGTTCAGGCGCTGAACGGTTGACACTCGTCTGCCATGTGTATCGCATGTGTTAGATACGCCTACGATATACGTGTATCAGACGTACAAAGTGTAATGAATTGGATGTCAGGCTGCTTGAAATGTTGCGTACGTTTTCATTCAGCCGGTACCTATTGTTTCCGGTGCTTTTAAACGCTACCTTTCATGCAGTTTTGTCTCTGGTGGCTTGAACCTTGGTCACATGTATACGGAGAGCGTCCTTTTGGCATTATGAGTTAAAACTTCTCGTGCTGAGCTAGCGACCTTCAATATACCAACGACCTTGCTCCTAGCTTATTATGCAGCATGTTCTCAATCGATCACGATCTTTATCCCGTCCAATCTATTGCTTGCAGCTTTTAAATTAATGTTTTGCAAACCAATATCTTGTCGCGAGCCATGTTTTACGACCTTTCTCTTACGACCTTTTCCATACAATCCCTCGCCACATGACCTCTTACCCTACAATCGTGGCCGACCGGCACTGGACTCCACTCACGACGGCCTCCGGGCCGACCGTGCCCTCTCACCCGTGACGCAGACGGCCATGATGGTGCCGTCCTCCTGCTTGTGCACGCTGGGCGGCCTCTCGTCCCAGGCCGACTCCCGGTCGGTCCGGCTGCTGCGCCGCCACGTCCAGTTCTCCAGGTAGGTGATGTCTGGGGCGGGGTAGGGCCGTACGGGTCACGGCGAGAACAGCGGACGCCGCCGGGCTGCGGAGGCTCCCCGACGGAAGTGTGCCCCCCGCCCGGCCCCAGCGCGGCGTACAGGATCCAAAGGACGGGACGGGGCACGGCCGCGACGGAGCAGGAATTGTAATGGTATTTCAGAGGGAGGTGGTCCGAAGGCAGATAACTAAATGATGCCCTAAATACGGACAGACATACAACGCTGTCCACAGGCGCCAGTTCTAGTGAAAAGCAGCGCCAACAGCGCTGCTTTACACTTTTCCATTTATGATTTAAATGCTGAAAGATCCTCACTACGCTACTTATGCCCTGCACCGTCCGAGTCCCATCCTTCATTGACCTCACTGACCCATCCGTGTCCTCGTGATCGTTCCGTCCGAGTCCCATTCCTCATCGACCCCACTGACCCAGTCCTGTCCTCGTGACCGTACCGCCCGCGTCCCATCTCCCACCGACCTCACTGACCCAGCTCTTTCCTGGTGATCGCGCCGTCCGAGTCCCATCCCCACTGGCCCCACTGACCCAGTCTTGTCTTGGTGACCGTACTGTCCGAGTCCCATCCCTCATCGACCCACTGACCCAGTCCTGTCCCGTGACCGTACCGTCTGAGTCGAGCCCCTCGTGTTTCTGCTGCTCCTGGGGCTCGGCGCGCAGCACGAAGTAGCTGATGGACTGGTCCTGCAGCCACACACGGAACCCGCCCTCCACGTAGAGCGGCTGGTCGGTCGGATGCTCCTCCAGCAGCGCGCGCTGCTGCTGGCTCTGTCCGGACACCACCCAGGTGCGGTCCACGGCGTCCTCTGGCAGTTCGTCCTCCTGCCGTCAGGGGACAAGGTCAGACACCACCCAAGTGCGGTCCACGGCGTCCTCTGGCAGTTCGTCCTCCTGCCGTCAGGGGACAAGGTCAGACACCACCCAGGTGTGGTCCACGGCGTCCTCTGGCAGTTCGTCCTCCTGCCGTCAGGGGACAAGGTCAGACACCACCCAGGTGTGGTCCACGGCGTCCTCTGGCAGTTCGTCCTCCTGCCGTCAGGGGACAAGGTCAGACACCACCCAAGTGCGGTCCACGGCGTCCTCTGGCAGTTCGTCCTCCTGCCGTCAGGGGACAAGGTCAGACACCACCCAGGTGTGGTCCACGGCGTCCTCCGGCAGCTCGTCCTCCTGCCGTCAGGGGACGGGGTCAGACACCACCCAGGTGCGGTCCACGGCGTCCTCTGGCAGTTCGTCCTCCTGCCGTCAGGGGATGGGGTCAGACACCGCTCAAGTGCCGTCCTCGACGTCCTCTGGCAGTTCGTCCTCCTGCCGTCAGGGGATGGGGTCAGACACCGCCCAGGTGCGGTTCGCGACATCACAACCCGAACAACCCTCCCGGCCGTCCCGACATAAAGATAAATCCCCGTGCGGGCATCTAGCGCCCCAATCCGCATCCGCGCGCCACCTGCGTCACATCGCAGAACGGGACGGGCTCGCGCCGGGACGACTCCCCGCTGCCGCGCCGGCCCCGCCTCGGCAGCGGCCGCTCCCAGCTCACCGCGAAGGTCGTGACCTCGGAGCGGGCGTCCACCGAGCAGATCTGCGCCACCGCCAGCTGCGCCAGCGCCAGCACCTCGCTCGGCAGCGGGCGCGGCAGCAGCCACGGCGACTGGTTGCGGAATTTCGGCATCCAGTACAGCATGCGCGCCAGCTTGCGCACCGGGAACGAGAACTTGCCGAAGATGTTGATCAGCTGGTCGCGCAGCTCCAAGTCGGGCATCACGCCTGCCGGGCAAATAGGGTCACGTGACACCTGTACAGGTGACGCGCATGGGTGTCACACGACACCTGATGATGCGACGTCAAACGCCGCCAGGACGATGACATTAGCGCACTTTGCATGTGGGGGGGGGGGGGGGGGGCGCAACACGACATTAGGATGCATGGTTGAGGGAAGCTTTCATCTGCAGTCTCGTGCTACACAACATCTCCTAAGACGGCACTGTGTCTAGTAAAGCGCGCTCAACGCCACGCTCTGCGAGCGGCCTGCGTTTGGTGCGCCCTGACGCCCCTGGAGCGGCGGGCCGGGCGTTACGTTCGCAGCACGGAGCGCTACACCGCATCACCACTGGGGACGTCCACACCAGCTGGGCAAAAGCACTCTCCCACAGCTGCACGCACACGACCGCGGCCAATGCTGCTGCACAAGGAGCGATCGCCTTCACAAGGGCCGGCGTCGCACCGCGTGAGGAACCGCTAGCAGCACGCACGCACGCTCGGCGCCCCGAGAGCCTGACGGAGGGCTGCAGACAGCTGGCTTCTGACGTTTCAGCCCTCACCGCCGCTGAGGCCGCTCCTCACCATTGTCCTCGATCTGCTGGAGGACGTCGATGGCGCAGTTCTGCTGGCGCGGGTAGTGCATGAACTCCACCTGGCAAGCAAACCCGCGACAGGCTCAGTCGCTGCCTGCCTTCACACCGACAACAGAGATAACGTCCCCAGCGAACATCCCACTCGCTGGCAATACGACCACTTCCATTACAAAACAGAACACCACCACAGTCACGCTCACATTACGAACTTCATGCAAGACGTGCCTCGCGAGTTTTGACACGCGTCAGCGTGCTCTTGGATGTATATTTAGACTTAACGCGGTGCTGTCGCACGCTGGAACGTTCGTGCGACGTGTCCGCAGTCGACCTGTCGTCTCTGGGATTACAATACCGAGCACATGGACACAATCTCACTCGTAAGCACCAATGGAGCACAACTGCACAAAGCACAAAACACACATGGCGCGGAGCACAAACCGCGGCAACCTCGCTCGTTAAGATAAACGTCATCCCAGTGTTAGCATATTGCAGACTCCATTGTCACAGCATTGTGTGAATAACCTGTTGGTATGACGACAACCACGGAGAGCGCCACGAGAGGTGTGCTGATCATTTATACCAACGACAAAACAACATATTCACACCACCGACAATAAAAAGACGGCACCATCCAACACCCCACATCGGGTTTCATGTTCAAACCTGACATACCAAGCCCTGACCATCACTTTCCGATCATTTTCCAAAGTACATACCTGAAACACATTGGTGGAGACCAGCTGGGCGGTCGGGAACACGCCCAGCACCTTCTTATAGGCTTCTAGGTCCTTGTGGACACCGAAGTTCTCCATCTCCTTGAGCGCGGCGTAGATGAACTCAACGTGCCCCCTCTTGTGTACCGTCATCTCGTGGAACATGTCCATGGCCGCCAGATAGGTCTCCTTGTTCTTCTCCTGTGGTGCCGTGTATGAGTATGACCGACGTTGTGTATGGATGGAATGCGCAACATTGGCAACACACATATTGCTCACGCAAGTACGGAACATTACTGATCAATTATCATATTTTGAATAAATTATCAGAGGACTCATCATAAGAAAACTTATCTTTCACGCACAAATGTCAGGAGTGTGATGTGTTGTAACCATTCCTGAAGCATTTCAACCTTCTGTTTGGCACAAACGGCTTTGAGACCCCAGTATGTGTTGGGAGCTGTCTTTTTTGCTTCTCCTTTGAAGTCAACAAACCAAATTCAAGTTAATGCAAAAATCATCTTGTATCACAACTATAACACAAAGTGGGCAGCCAGGTGGTGTTTTTGTAGTGCACACTGCTGTGACACGGACGCCCTGCTTAGCCACTATATATATATATATATATATATATATATATATATATATATATATAAGTAACATCAGACACGGCACGCACTCTGGGGATCCTGACGCATATTCCCTGAAGTAGCTGCAATTTCTGGATCAGTGCTGGGTGGTAGCAGGATCACGCAGTCCAAACAACACCTAACGCCAATGGTACAACGCCCAAATCTTCAGGGAGAGCATACGCAGAGCCCACTTGTTCTCGGCTTGATTGAGGAGCAGGGCAGTATCCATGGCTTCATTCATGTTATTACCATGTGTTATCTTAGATTACCGGATTCATCTGATTTTCTTTGTGTTTCTCACATGTACCGGGCTAAGTCCTTCTCTCGGCCGCCTGCCAGCACCGGCAGGTCGCACCTTAGCGCCAGCAAAGATGGTGTGCGGCACCAGCCGTGAACTCGCACCTTAGCGTTAGCAAAGATGTTGCGCGGCACCAGCTGTGAACTCGCACCTTAGCGTCAGCGACGGTGGTGCGCGGCACCAGCTATGAAATCGCACCTTAGCGTCAGCGAAGGTGGTGCGCGGCACCAGCTGTGAACTCGCACCTTAGCATCAGCGAAGATGGTGCGCGGCACCAGCTGCGAGCTCGCCGGCTGGTCGCGCCGCAGACCGGCCGTCGCGTGCAGGCGGCGGCCGGCCGGCCGCGGGCGGACGCTGCGCAGCCGGCACCAGGTCACCCGCAGGCCGTGCGGCGTCAGACAGCGCTGCAGCATGCTGGCCGCCGACGCTAGGCCGCGACCGGGGCGACAGGTCACGGACGGATCTCTGGCACCTGCTGGCCGCCGACGCTAGGTCACGGACGGCTCTTTGGCACCTGCTGGCCACTCCCTAAAATGAGGAAGCATGTGCAGTTGTTGTAGAAGCTTGATAGCTAGTTGGATATGATTCCAGGAACAGAGTTCAAACATTAGGTGTGCATTGGGTACGGTTTAACAGTGGGCTTACATCAGCAAGATGTGAAAAAGCAGCTTTGCTGCTAATCAGGCTTGTGATCAATGGCCTGCACCAGAAAATGTACACAGCTTTAAAGCAGTTGCAAATATCCTAGAAGCTACACTTTTGCACCAGCTCATCTCAGAATTTAAGGCACAGTACCACACATACCACCAAACATTTGTTTCATGAAGGGTGGATCTAAGGGAGCCAACCAGGACATGACCTCTCAAAGATGGCCCAATCTGGGCAAAAAGTGGCATACTTCTGAGCTTTGGAGGACATCTCAGCGGCTTTTATCGCAAAAAGCTCCCTTTAACACTCATTGACATACAGGAAAGTAAAATTTTATGGTCGCAAATCTGCTGATGATCCCACAACCAAAATGCATCATAGGTACACAGGTACTCACACAATCTCATTCTTAACCAGGGCCGCAACCATTGAGTTGATTTTCTCAAAGACCAATGACTACTTCTGCTTGCTCGAAGATAAAACATACTATGACGGTCAAGAGTGTCAATTTTGTAAATGATTGAGCAGGGGGCTGGACCGATGTGTCAAAGCCTACCAGCCACACCCTATTTTTTCTCATCGGTTTTAGCTCACCTGATTTTCACAAAAAGCACTTTATATTTGTAAGTTTTGTATTCCTCATGATAAACTTAAATTAAGCAGCACAGCACTCATGTGGGGACAGATCCAGAGCAGGAGGGGGGGGGGGGGGAGGGTACTGGAGACACGTGTCCCTTCCGATCGGAAATCAAGGCGCCCCTTTAGACGCTACCTTGCGGCACCTAATGCGCTCTTCTATGGCGGTCACTGGCGTAGGCGTAGATTACCGCCCCGTTTTTGGTTGTGAGGCCGGGACGCGGTTATCCATAAAGGACAGGCACTCGGGAGCACTCCAGAGCACTCCAAAGGCACTCCGGAGCTTTTCAGCTCAACCTTTCAATCATCGGCAAATCTCGTGGTCCTAGGTATGTCAAGTTTATCGCAACGTTTCTCCGCTCAGCCGTTTCGGTTTATATCTGGCGATGAGAGCGAACACGACTTGTATTACAAGAAGAACTTGTGTTACAAGTTCTAGCGTTTGTAGGTGCACTGATATGCACAAGCTCGCGTTTCCACAGGGTGGTTAACATCCAGCTACATTAATGGATCCAACCACTAGGCGTGGGTACCAAGCCATTCAGCAAAATTACACAGGGTGATACAATTTTATTGTTGTCTTTGGCCTTAGGTCACGGCGTCCCCCTGACAAAAGCAGTGCAGCTTTATTCAAGATCCAGTTTTGGTATGACAGGCAGGCGTCACCCAAAATTTTGGCCGGGCCTCAGCACTGAGCAACATTTTTGATGCCACTATGTTTCATGGCATCAACAATTCATTATGACCAATATCTGCATGGGATTAAGGCCCAAAAGAAACTGCTTCCATGACAAACAAAAGACATTCTGAGAGAACAGTAATGAGAATTTGTGGAAACTGGTACAAAAAGGCATGTGCTATTCATGGGACCACTGCGAGCATTCTTTCAATAAATTGCCACCATGCTCCTTAGGTGTGTACAGAGTCCATTGACCAGGTATGTTACATTATGTCACATTATTACATACATCACATACAGTCACATTATGCAAGTTATTTTGATTTTATGTGGACTGGTTCTTTATCAGCATAGCAAATAAAGGATCCCCTAAAAAATCAGTTGGACTTAAATGCAAAATATTGCATGTTATTAATTGACACCAGTTTCTGCTGAACACAGCCATACATTTCTTCCTTAGACACTTCTTTAAAGCCAGAACTGGTACATTCCTAAAAGATGATAAAACAACACAGATTAACATTTTAAACCACAATGGCCACAGGATGACAGATGTGGCCCAAACATTCCCATAAAATTGTCCTGAACAGGATTGTTGAAAGCACTGCCACTGTTACAATCACTGTTATCTTATACATATCTGAGTTTAACTGTATGTAACTGCTTTCTCAGTCACAGGCTATATCTCATGACATGAACACTTAGTGAAGTAGCAGTAAACAGACATCACCTTTATCACAAAGCCATTGGCTGTAATGAGTAAATTCTCGCAAAAAGAGCGCATATTGCTGCAAATGTACCAGTGGTCATTACCAAGGCCCATCTTTCCTGGAGCTCTTAAGTTATGTTGATCACATTCTGGATGTAGTGAAAAATGTTAGGGTGGGGTCACCATCCAGAAAAAGTGTTAATGTCAAAGAAAACCATCTGGCTGTTGGCTTGATAGTGTCAGTCTGGTTACAGGACGTTCACTAGTTGTGTAACTGCGTAACACCTCGGTCATTTTGTGCTTATTTGATAAATGTAGTAGGGAAGACAGGCTCATAAGTTTGTATCAGCCCTCTTGTGAGATACAGCCATAGCCTCCATTATGAGTGTTTTAGTCTATGTTATGTCCTTAGACATGCACAAGAGTAGAAACAACTCAGCAGCTCAATATTCACTGATGTTAAGAACCTACTTTTTCAATCAAAATTTATTGAATTTCTTCCAGGGTAAATAAGAGACTTTGGCTTACTGCAACACCTTTTATTTTAAACGTGTGCCTTTTTCGAAACGCACAAATGAATAACCACAAACCCACTTTTTAGCACCGAATCCGTAACCATATCATAGCTACAATGCTTTAGCCCTACTCAATCCATGTACAGAACACGGTCCAACCGGACCCACAAATAAAGCAACACAGCAGTATTTCCAACCTTTCCAACACTGCCCAACCGGCCTAACCAAACCACGCCAGCAAACGCAAAAATCTTTTTGGCACCGAAATGTCTGTGCTGCGTCAGATAAAGACGAATGCAGTGCGTTAAATTACTGCATAATGTTTCGCAGCTAAATTAGTTGCATACATTAAAACTGCCACGTTTTATCTATCTCAGCAGTTCGGTGCCATTAGTTATGGTCCCATTTAAGTACTGTTACCACTTGGTTTTATAACGACAGTAATCAGCATCAGCAATAATGGAGATAAAGTAAAACAGGTTACTAAAATATTTGTCAAGACAGAGACAAAACTGCAATCTAAAGAGAAATCCTGCATATAAGAGGAGGAACTTTCATCTGTTTTATTGTGGTAATTTGATCATTTTGCTCTAGCTGTTGTGCAGAAATGCCTTTTGATATGGCGTAAGATTGAAGACTTGGTTGCAAACTCCCAGAGAAATCTTCGAACAGCATGTTAGGGCAGTGAATAGCGGCCAGCGTCGCGCACCAGAGACAGGGGCTTACTGAGGAAAACATGCCTACAACTAACTGAGAGGTTCACGATATCGCTTAAATTGGTTTCTCAGCTTCTGTGTGGTCTTACACGTTGTTGGTGTTTTCGGTGGAGCCCGATAAAACGTTGGATAAGTCTACGTGACCAGAGTACGTTTATTCTTGAAGTTGAAATCCTGCTCTCGACTTACCTGTTTCATATTGGTTACCCACGGTGTAACTATGCAGGGTCCTTTTGCACCGGCCAATTTCCCACGTTTGTGGGGTTCATAAGTCGACGTGTTACTTTCCTGTGGCTTTGCTTTTCCACCTTCGTCCGCCTCATTAGCTTAAAGGTTAATCAGAATAGATGGCTTACCATAATGGTGATGTATTTGATTATATTTGTTGCAATTTTTATCTTTTAACATAAGTATGTTGTACATCCTAATGCCAGTTATGGGCATAAAATAACCTCAGATCTCGGTGTGCCCTACAGTACCAATCATCATTATCTGTAACCCTTGAAGTGGAAAGGAGGGGAATAATTGTGAAAGTAATTGCTTGCATCAGTCCCTCGATCACCTGAATGTCTCCGTGCATCACCTGAATCGCACCTTGGATGAGGGAGGGGTGATTCAGGGTTAATTAAGTTGGCAAATGACTAGTAGGGAGTTAGGTTGCTATGGGGTGATACAAGCTTTGTGGGCTATGAAGAGGATCCTTCAATAGTTTTGGCTGAGAGGCTGATGTTAACTTTCAGCAGAACCACACTTCAAGTGTTGAGACTATCAGTCTGCACCATCCCACCCTGTAGAAAGACTGGTCCAAAATTATCCAGAAAATACTTGTCCATGAGAGCATTGTGTTTTTGTGTGTCTGAACATCACTTAAATATGTTATAGGTACCTGGTACCTACCTGATGGTCATTTTTGTCAATCCCTTGTAGGTCTTGTCTATGTCAGTCCTTTGATATGAATAGTGGTTGGTCCACAGCATTGTCAGCTGAGTATCTCAGTCTCTGATGCTGTCATTGTCATTGCTTGGTGTGCTTGGATGTTTATTGTGACAATGCCGAGTAAACTTGGAACTGCTGGCACTTCAAAAATTTGCAGATCATCTTTGTTGGAAGTCTAGAACCAGAACTAACCATATGCATGATTATTTGTACAGAAATATATGACTCTTTTTCAAATCAGTGAAAACATCTAGCTTGGGGGTGGGGATGCAGGCAAATCCAGTGCAGCATGCCAGTGATATCAGTGATGATCCTCTTGTTTGATTGTTTTTACCCCAGATATTCATTGTGAGTCCTTTACTGTAAGAACATTGGCTCTTCCCAGGTATCAAGTTTGGCAATGTTCCTACCAGGGGCCAAATGATGATTATGATGAGAGTCACAGATGGGGCAGCAAATAGTTGCAAAGAAACATTGAGTGGCCTGCATGGCCACATGCTGCTGTGTGACCATTAGCACATTTTTTCTAGGTTAAAACCAATGTTAACAATGAGAACAGCTTTGTTTTGGGCTGAGTAGCATTGCTAAGCTGCTTTGCTCTCTTAACATTAAGGGCAGTTTGGCTTTGAACTGAGAA